AGAGAGAGAGAGAGAGAGAGAGAGAGAGAGAGAGAGAGAGAGAGAGAGAGAGAATAATAATGAAGTAAAAAACCAGGTGTGGTAGCACACACCTTTAGTCCCAACACTCTGAAGGCAGAGGCAGGTAATCTCTGAGTTCAAGACCAGCCTGGTCTACACAGAGAGCCAGGTGAGTCAGACTACATAGTGAGACCTAGTCTCTAAATAAATAAATAATCAGATAACAGTAGCGTATAACTATCATGGATACACACTGTACTTGAGCTACCTACCTTTTTAACACTGAATCTTACCGAAGGAAAAGTAAGATACTTTCGTGTGAATATTCTTTAAAGTAATTGTAAACTTTAAAATTCTCACAAAAAAAATGTTTTATTATTTTTTAAAAATAGAATGCCTGTGATACAAAATGCAAATTTCCAAAAAGCTTAGCAAGTTCACGAGAAATAATGCAGAAAACAACTTTGAGAATAGTTCGTCTATTCTGCAGTTCCTCACTCTGAAGAGACAGCAGTCTGGGACTAAATCAAAGCAATATTTTTCTTTAAGATACATATTCTGAGAAAAGTACTTCAAAAATAATTCTATGTTGTTGCTTAAAACACAATTAAGGGAGTGTAATGGCTTGCTCACAACAGAGATACTCAGGAATGGTAAGGAGATTATAGAACACCCATGTACACCTGCAATCCCAGCCCCCAGGAGACAGCGGCAAAGGAGAACCACAAATCTGAGGTCAGTCTACACAGTGAGCTTCCAGTCAGACAGAAATACAGAGCAAGATCCACCTCAAAAAAGTAAAAATAAAATAAAAATAAACAGATCTACTATTCCTATTTAAGAATGAGGCTAGAAGATAGAAATGTATGCCATATCCTAGCTTCAAACTGAATATAAGATTTACAGATTAAATTGTTTAAAACATAGAAAAATAATATAAAAAGTGGTACCACAGGATAAAAAGTCACTATCGTTAGAACTGCAGAAGACATTATAAAAAGCTAATAAATTTTTTCTATCCACTATCATCTCTAATTCATGTCTTACAACAAACTCTAATATGTGCCTAAATCAACCATTTAAAGCACATTACTCAAGATTATGACAAAGTGTAAGTTGAGTGTTTTTCCTCTTTTTAAGCACTAACTTAATGCACACTTAGCACTGATACAGTAATATGAAAGCAAACAATTTCAGTCTATCATAAGTTGTTATATAAAATATCTCAGGGAGGAAAACAATAGCAATTTATTATCTAAAAATTTATCAAATTCAAACATTTCTCAACTATATAATTTTGCTCAATCATAATATAATTGCAAATCACTATTTAGAGGCAAAAGTACCAACTATGCCTCCTATAATGTATCTATAAAGTTGTACATACCATTATTTTTCTATTTTTCATAGTCATTGCTTTAAAAATGTTAAGCAAAGGAGCATAAGGCACAGCAGAAGACAGTGCAGAAAGGGGAAAAGGTTACTTACGATAAAATATAATGTATAAAAACGCCATCATGAAGCCCTTTATTTTATAAACTATATTTAATGTTATTTTAAGTATTGAAAACGTTTAAATAAATCTGGGCAGTGATGGTGCACATCTTTAATCCTAACACTCGGGAGGTAGAGGCAGATAAATTTCTGAGTTTGAGGCCAGTCTGATCTACAGAACAAGCTCCAGTATAGTCAGGGTGGTTACATGGGAGAAACCCTGTCTCAAAAAAGCAGCAACAAAATATTAAAAATGAGTGCTATCTTGGGCTGGAGAAATGGCTCAGTGGTTCAAAGCATGTGCTGCTCCTACAGAGGACCTGAGTTCGATTCTCAGCACCCACATCTGAAGGCTTACAGTTGTCTAAAACTTAAGCTTTAAGAGATCTGACACCTCCGGCCTCCCTAGGCACCTGAACTCACATGCACTAAAACACACAAAGACCATACACACAAATACACACATTGTTAAAAATATAAAATATAAATATAAAATTTTAATCGCTTTATATTTTCACTTTATTATCAGTGCTAAAATTCTATGATGTGATCATTTAAGAGTATTTCAATGAACATATTAAAACATACCTGGTTCATTATAGCCTTCTCTTAAGTACTGAATAAGACAAAAAATAAATCTTGGAAGAACAAATTCAGACATCATCAATAAGTCTTTGGGGACACAGGGAATATTTGAACTTGATTTAATCTGATGTCTTCTGCAAAACCTGTAATGGGGAAAAAAGGAACTGAGAAAAAGGGAAAAATAACAATGTCTAGCCAGACAAAATTCTTACTTCTATTTATAATATTAATAAAAAATACAATCAAATATTAAAGCCAGAATAATCCTTCTTTGTGATTGTTAAAGCACCAAGCTAAACGAATACAGCTTTAGTAGGCCTTTAAATTAAAAGTGGCACCCAAAGAGACTCTTTCGGAGAAAGACCATAACAGCCATTTCCCAAACAGAACACAAAAAGAAAATCACCATAGTTTTACATTTCTGACTGTAATATATTACTTCCAAGAGCTATTTTATTATTTCTATCCTTTATAAACCTGTAAGTATGCATCGGGAGGCAGAGGCAGACGGATCTCTTTGAGTTCGAGGCTAGCCTGGTCCACAAAGCGAGTTCCAGGACAGCCAGGGCTGTTACACAGAGAAATCCTGCCTCAAAAAACATAAAGTAAAAAAAATATATAAACCTGTAAAGCACAACTTGGTAGTTATCTGAAGTTTTACATTCTCCATTCCTACCTCAATGAATTAGTCAGTGATATAAGTAATTGAAGTTTACTTTAGAAGTTTATACATTCAAGCATATATACTCTAGTTAATCTCCATTATTGGAAAAAATGACTGGTACATTGAGCAACAAAGACAAATATTCACAATCTAAATCATCACAAATAAGTTACTTTGCTATCAAACACAAAATTACTAATTAAACATATAAAATGTCTAAAAAATAAACTTAATAGGAATAATACAAAAGCTATTTTGGCTTTAAAGAAGAAAAGCAAAGATTAATGATCTGAATACAAAACAGCACTCTTAAGTAGAAGAATGATTTTATTTCATAAAACACAGAAATTCTTCTACACTTAAATGTCATTAAATTTAAAGTGCAATGGAATCAATCAAAACTAATTCTATCATGTGAAAGAGTCAATGTATGAAAAGTGACAGCAACATTTGCAAGAAATAATTAATGACAACAAGCTGATCTATAAAACACAGTACAAACTATTTTAACCAAAATTCTATGGTAATTTAATAACATAGACTACAACTGAGTCTAGAATAAGGATATGCAAATTCATGGGTTTAACATATGACCAACACAGCATAACAACCCAATATGATGAAAAGACTTAAAAGATTTTTGTTTGGTTGGTTATTGTTTTTGTTTTGCTTTTCAAGACAGGGTTTTACTGTGTAGCCCTGGCTGTCCTGGAACTCACTCTGTAGACCAAGCTAGCCTCGAACTCACAGAGATCCACCTGCCTCTGTCTCCTAAGTGCTGGGATTAAAGGCGTGCGCCACCACCACGCAGCTGACTTACAAGATTTTTATATCAACTGCATATGTGTACACAAGAGTACAGGTGCCCACAGAAGCCAAAGGCATCAGACGCCCTGAAGCTTGAGTTGCAGCAGTTTGTAAGCATCCAATGTGGGTGCTAAGAACAAAACTGGCATCTTTGCAAAAACAAGGTGAACTCTTAGCTGCGAGCTCTCTCTACCCCATGTAACAAACTCTTTTAGGTCAAAATTGATTATTAAACACAGAAAATAAATTCTATCCCTACCTTAAACAACACAAAATATATACCATTAACATTAAAAATTATATACAAATATTCTTCATTATCTTGGAGTATAGAAAGCCTATCTGGTAAGATTTAGCTTCTATACAGAGTAACTGGAAAAATACAATATGTAAAGCAGATAATTACTATAATTAGAAACTCTTTAAAATGGAAAAAAGAAAACAATAGAAAAATCAGGACATGATATCAAAATTAGCAAAAGAAGTACTTTTTAGTAAATATATAAAAGGTGCTCTGGTTCTCTAACAAAGTAATTTCAAACAAAAAAACAGTAATGTGAAAATTATTTTGCAGTATCTGCTAGATTTTGTTATGCTCTAATAGTCCTCTCTCCCTGTCTTCCTCTCTTTTCCTCCTCCCCTCTCCTTCTTGCCCTCTCTCCCTCTCCCCCTCTCTCTGTCTGTTTCTCTCTCCCTCTCCATCTCTGACCCACTCATAGAAGGTATTTGTTAAGAGAAAGCTTAAGGGAAAACACCCCACTAAGGAATTAAACTATAACCATACCGATCTTGGGATTCTGGAGTAAAAGAAGGGGCACTGCAGTGCATATGAAGCGCACAGCATGAACACAGAAAGTAAAGAGACCAGCACCAACCTCAAGGGCCAACTCCTTATGAGAAGTATGCAAAATGAAGGAACTAGTTAAATGACACCTCAAGAAAACAGACAAACTTAGAATAGGACATTATACATAGGAAAATTGGTTTCAGTTTCTCTGCAAGCTGTCGGTGTCAGAGGGATCAAGCAGGTAAAAAGGCTACTCTAGTCTAAGGAGTTTGAGAGATCAAGTAATAAGATAAAATTTGTGAACAGCCAAGGTGATCTGATTAACTACTGCACACTAATTCACTACAGTGAATTTTATTAGATGACAATGGCGTTGTGATCCTAGAATATGTTCATGGATATTTAATGACAAAGAAATTATTTGGGGGAGACATTCCTTTTAGCATGTGTAGATATCCCCATTTAGGATGAATGTTCTACGGTCTCTCACTCTCTGCATAATGTCTAGCTATGGCCTCTCTATTTGTTCCCAGCTGCTGCAGGAGGCAGCTTCTCTAACGATGGTAAAGCAAGGCACTGTTTTATAGGTATTCCATCAAATCCCTCCCAGAGCTCTGGGAACCCTGTGGAAGTGGAAGTGGAAGTGAAAAGAGCACAAAAGTCAAAGGGTGGAGGACACCAAGAAAACAAGACTTCCTAAATCAGTCAATGTACATATGGGCTCAGAGAGACCAAGCCAGCATGCACAGGGCCTGCATGGGTCTGCACCAGATGGGGTCCTAGAACTAAAAGGAGAAGTGGATGCATGCCCAACCCAGAAGCTGTCTCCAATTGACAGCCACTTGCAAATAAAGTTTTAGTTCTCTACAAGGGACTCTCACTGAGAAACAAACCTTCTCCTGAGGGTAGATTGCACGCCCAGCAGTAGATGTCAACAAAAATCAAACTCAATGGCCTCTTTAGAATCTTGTCTCATAATGGCAGTCCCCCTACATTTTTTTTTCTTCTTTCTTTTTATTCTACAGTTCTTTGAGTCTACATTAAAGCACCTAGTCTAGTGTTTTTTATGGGATTTCTGAGTATCACTATATCTGTATCTGTTTCTTGTGCCTTTTCTTGAGCTCTTTGCCTTCTCTTTGTTTATTTTGTCATATTCCAATGAGTTAGTTTTTGTTCTATCTTATTTTATTTTATTATTAGCCCTTAGAAGCCTGTTTGTTTTCTAATGGAAGACAGAAAAGGGTGGATCTAGACAGGAGGGGAATTGGGAGGAAGTGGGAGGAGCAAAGGAAGGAGAATCCATAATCACAATATATTATATGAGAGAGAAAATCTAAAGAGGGAAAAAGCATAAGAATAAAAAGAAGAAATTATTTGAGTCAGGATGGGACCACGTGTCTTTAATCCCAGTACTTGGGAAGCATAGGTAGGCAGGTCTCTGTAATTTGTAATAGGCCTGATTTACACAGCAGTTCTAGGGCAGCCTGGATTGTATAGCAAATACCTGTCTCAGAGAGAGAGAGAGAGAGAGAGAGAGAGAGAGAGAGAGACAGAGACAGAGACAGAGAGAGAGAGACAGACAGAGAGAGAGAGAGACAGAGACAGAGAGAGAGAGAGAGAAAGAGAGAGAGAGAGAGAAGAGAAAAGGAGGGGGGAAAAGGGGAGGAAAGAAAGGGGACAATTTAAGCCTAACAAAATCTAGCTACCATTGATGATTAATGAACACAAAAACTGATCAGCAAAAGCCCTATAAGGAAAAAGTATCGCACATATTCATTTGTCAATGGCAAAACAGAAAATTGTTTATAATTCATAGTTAGCCAAAGGGCTAACTAAATGCAACCCTGTGTTTTAGTCCCAGAATGGCACAATGCCCCATCTTAGTCCAGGACTCAGTACACATAAGCTTACTACCCCAACATTAAGGATAAACTTCTCTAATCTCTTTCTAATCTTAGGACATAATCCTTTAACCTTCTAAGATTGGTTCTTAAAAAAATTTATTTTCAGGTTTATGTGTATGTGTGTCTGCCACATTGGCGGGGTGGTGAGTGCATGCTGGAGGAGGCATAGTGCCAGATCCTCGCAGTTAGAGAAACAGGTGGTCGTGAGCTGTCAGGTGTTACATACTAGGAACCAAACTTAAACCTTCTGGAAGAGCAGCAGACAGTTTTGTTTGTTTGTTTTTCTTTTTCTTGGTGGCAGTTTTTGAGACAGTGTTTTTCTATGTTGCCCTGGCTGTCCCAAACTTGCTCTGTAGATCAGGCTGGCCTCAAACTCACAAAGATCCACCTGCCTCTGCCTCCCAAGCACTCTGAACTCCTGAGCCATCTCTCCAGACTCTCTGCAGTTCTTTAAAACCTTTTAAAAAATTTACTTTCAAATTTTGTAACTACATTAGTTTGAGTTTATTTTAAATTATAATTCAGTTATGAGATAATATTCTGTCACATTTCCTAGCATTGATAGTGATACATGAATACCCATATTGTGGGGTTTTTTTAGGCAAGGTCTCATGACCCAGACTGGCTTCAAAATCCCTAACGTAACTGAAGTTGCCTTTAAGCCCCAATCTTTCCACCTCCACATTCCATTGCTAGGATTACAGGCACAGACTACCATACATGGCCCCAGAAATTCTCATAACTGTACAGAGACATTTTATAAATATCTCCTTTGTTTATAAATTAGGTGACCAGAAAAAAATGCAAGATTTATTAACATAGGGACTCATAACTTACATTAGATCCCTACTCGCTATTTCTGCAAGCTTGAGGTATAGTTCATGCTTAGCATGTGTAGGATCCTGGTTAGATTCCCAGTACCAAAGTAAGGAGGAAGGAAGTCCATAAACACAAATACATCACATGTGTGTAACTTTAAAC